CTTTAGAAGTGATTTGCAATCCTGTGTCACGAGGATACGAGCTGCTCTTTTGAAAGTGAGGACCCGTCCGCCTCTCTTCTCTATTTATTCTCACTCCCATGATTTCACCCAGTTTAAGTGCCATCTGGAGCCCAGTGATTTTCACATTTATATCTTCAGTTTTGTCTCCTGAAATCCAGACTCCTATATCCAACTGCCTACTCCATACCTCTTATTGGATACTCCATCGGCATCTCAAGCTTAACATGTCTGAAACTTCTAATTCCCTTCCCATCCACTCACATGTTTCATCTAGTCTTCCCATCTCGGTTGATGGAAACATCTTCCTTCCAGTTCCTCAGGCTAAAAACCTCAGTTATCCTTGACTCTTCTTGTTCATATCACACATCTGATCTATCAAGAAATGTCTTGGTTCCTTCTTCAAAATACACCCCAACCTTTCTCCCCACCTCCCCCACGTTCGCCTGGTCATGATCCACACCGTCTCATTGTCTGGATTGCTGTGATCACCTCCCAGCGTTGCTCCTTGCCCTTCTCTGGTCCATTCCCAACCAAGCGCACAGAGTGACCCTCTTGTCAGAAGGTCATGTCACTCTCTGCTCAAAGTCTTAGATCACCTTCTCGTTACGATGGCCTCCAAGGGAAAGGCTGATGGGAAAGACTGACCTCATGACCTCTCTGACTACTACATGTGCCAACAGTGGCTGTGCCACTGTGTTCCTCTGTGTGACACTGATCTCCATGGGCGGTTCCGTGCCAGGGGACAGGCAGGAGTTGCGGAGAGCTGAGGATGGTATGAGCCTGATCTTTCAAAGTTCCCCCAAGTTCTGTGGTTAGTTTATGTCCCTTCCAAGTGGAAACAAATGCAAGAAGCAAAGAGGTGGCTCTTCAAACAGACCCGAAGTTGGACATAAGAGAAAAACATGCTGTTAAGTTCCATGTAATGTGAAAGCATCAGCATGACAACTAGTTTTAAGACCTCAGAGGTAAGCTTTCCTTGCTCTTATGTTTGAGTCCTTGCTCTCCTGTTGTGGAAGAGTAAACTATTGTTTAGGACATGTTCACTCCCTCCTTACCCCCATGAGAAGTTTTATTTTAATTTGTTTCATTCAATTTAATTTAATGTATTTTTAATTTATTTGCTTTTCAAGATGACCAGGAAATGTATTTGAAATACAAAGAATGTCACGTGGCTCTCTTTGGCCAGTGGAAAGTGGATAGACATGACAGTGTGTGAGTTTCAAGCCCAGGCCTGGAGTAACATCACACGTTTCTGACCTTTAGCACCAGACGTCCTTGCCCTGGGTGAGCCACCTGATCCCAGCAGAACAAGAGCCTTGTGGAGCCACGCTGCCCTGGCCCACCTGCATGCCTGCAGCTGGAAGTCAGCCACCCCAACCGATCACAAAGGCAGCAGTGAGGTCAACGTTTGTCACTGAAGGTTTTTTATAATGCAGAATGCTTGTTTACTAATAACCACTTACTACATGTATATTCCCTCAAATAACTTTACTTTGTGGAGCCTTGGTTTCCTTATCTGTAAACTGGGATGGCAGTTGTATCTACTTGGAAGGTAGGTACTTTGTGAGCACTAGGTAAGGTGCTGCAGATAGAGTTCTTGGCCCAGAGCCGGGAGAACAGAAAGTTCTCAGCTGGCGTCATTTCTGTCTTCCTGATGCTCAGCGTGTTGCAGAGTGGGTACCACATCTAAGCGATGGGGCATATTGGGGCCATGCTGGGCTGTTGTTCTGGGTTGCAGCTGCAGAATGGGTCAGTGGGGAGAGTGGGTGAAGGTCAGGGTCAGGTGTCCCTGGGTATGTGGTTGGGCGGCAATTGGGGGAATTGATTCATTTATATCTTAGAAGGATGGAAACAGAGTACACTGATAGGTGCCCCTGAGCAGGTGGTGTTGCTTTCATCTTGACTAGAATTCGTGAGCTGATGGTGGCATCACCTGCTGCATCCTGCTGAGCCTATAGAGAGACATTCAGGCTTGTGTTTCCCATGCACTGGCTGCATCCTCGTGATTGACTTCTCATTCAGATAGTCCTCTGCTTGCCTCCCGCCTTCCTTCCATGGGCTGGCTGCCTCGGGGAGTCTAGCTGCAGGGAAGAGTGGTGGCAAATGCTCTCCTGCTGAGCCAATCAATCCTTTCAGCCACAGAGTTGTGGGAATAGGGTGTCCAGGCCATTCCTACACATAGGGGCCACCGTTATCCCTGTGGTGTCACTCCCTCAGGTGTGTGACAAGTGTGCTACCGGGAGCACCTTCATTATTCCCCAGTGTGCGTAAGAGCACAAAATACCTGTGAGTAGGGGGCTTAACTCAGTCATGTCTCCCTGTGGGGTCTCTCTATCTTCCTTTAGTTCTCCTTTTTCTTTCCTCGGCTCTGACAGAGAGATCGTGAAGGACAGAAGGAGGAGGGGTCCTACTCTCTTCCATTTGCATTTCTTGAAGGGTGTCTGGAGAGGTACTGAGGGCGTTTCTTCAAATACATCTTCTGCACACACTCCTCGGCTTGGCGCCTAGACCCTTCAAGATCTGGCTGCAGATCACCTTTCCTGCTACTCTCTCCCTCTGCCCCTGTCCCTGCTACCACTGGGGGCCGTTCATTCCTCCATTAGTTCAGGCCGATGCCAGTGTTCGTAGGGCATACCGTTCAATGAAGAGCTGATGAAGACAGAGTTCCTCCCTTTGAACACTTCATTGTCCTTTTAATGCTGTCCTTGCTATGGATACCACTCTCTAGGCTTAGGATGTCTCCCTCCCTCTAGCCTCCTGGCTATCTTCCTCCCTCCCTCCCTCCCTCCCTCCCTCCCTCCCTCCCTTCCTTCCTTCCTTCCTTCCTTCCTTCCCCCAGCAAATACTTGTTCATCTATTCAGTCCTTATTTGAAAGGCACCTGCTTTGTGCAATCTTGCCATGTAATTCTGAGCAGATCTTCTGTGATCCAAAACAATTCTCTTTGTATTTTGACCACTGAACTTTTTACACAAATCTTTATAATCTACTATGATATGTTTGTCTCTCTAACTAAAGAATGAGGACCTTGTGGACAAGAAACGTGTTCTTGCTATTGATCTTGCTATATCTTCGCTCTCAGGAGACACTCAATAAATATGTGTGAAGGTCTTGGGTTTTAACATTGCTGCCCACTTGAGCTATTGCCACAGTATGTCCCTCTCAGTTCCAGCAGACCTGATGGGGGTGGCAGTCGGGAGGCATACCTCATTTGAACTAGATGAAGTGGAAGTTTCTCTTGGCCACAAAACAGCCATCCATCATCGGTCCCAATGAGGCCTGTCACCTTGGCTCTCCAGCCCCTATTTGCACCAGAATCGATACAACTTCCCATAGTGCGGACCCACATGGATGTTTCTTCTTCAGCAGCAGCTACATCACTTAAAATCAATCAGACCAGAGCCAGGGGTGGGGCAGGGAGGACAGTCCTGCTAATGATTAATTCTGCAGCTGGCAATCTGTTCGGTTGTGTGTTGGGGCTTAATGTGCGATTTCATGGCTTTTCACGGTCTCTAAACTGCAAATTCAAGATTATTTAAAAACATTTTATTTAATTTGCATGCTTTTTTAATCAAAAAAGTTAAAAGACTAATCATCTTTTATGGGCAGTTATCAAATGTGCTATTTGCACATAAGGCAGAAATGTCTTCTTTAGCCGAGAAATCTTAGGGGTACTGATGAGGAAGGGCAGATAGCTCTGGAGACAACTTGATTCATTCTTCAGGGTGAAGTCCATCTGGGTGGAGTGTAATCCTTCAGGTTCATTCATCAACCCCACTGCCCCTCCACCCCCTCCTCTTCATATGGGAGTGACTTGGCAGCGGGCATCTGTTGGGGAGGGCTGGGCCTGGCCCATCTTTATATTCCGGGAGCCTCACCTGGTGTCTCTCCTTGGGCAGGTGTACAGGAAATGTTTGCTGAATGCGAGAATCCATGAACGAGGAAAGGTCCTCCATACTCTCCCTCCAGCAGTCCGAGGAGAGACCTGCATGCATTCGCTCAGCCTTTGCCACAGCACCATGGGAAGCAGCGGCAGAAGGCACGGCTGAGCTCCTCGCTTGGTGGAGGACATGCCAAAGGGAAGCGGTGTGTTTTAACATTTGTGAAAATCATTATTTACCTATTGCTTGATTCAGAATCCTAGAAGGACCTTAAATTCAACTTCTTCACTTTACAGATGAGGAAACGGAGCCAAAGTGAGGAAGCCCCTTGCTTAAGGAAAAGTCAGGACTTGAATCCCACTTCAGGTAAAAAAAATTTTTGTTTTGTACTGACTTCTTTCATCTCTTGGTATGTGTCACTTCACTTCAGTTTTCCCAAATGCTGCAACTTCCAGGATTTCTGTGGATGACAGTAGCCCCTTTCCCTCGTCTCCCTTCAATTTCTCTCTTTTCTGCTTACAGATTATAGAGATAAAACACCCTGGAAATGGTTCACCCAAGGAAATGGCACAGAGTCCTCTAGATCGATGGGCCACACGTGAGGATGAAGAAAGATGCCACTGTGCCTCCGTCTGAAGGGGGACCGAGCAACACAGAGAGGAAGACTCGGCCCAGCTGAGGGACGCTGTCCATGCTGAGGTTGGATAGAAACTACCTGGTGAATGCTTTCTCCGTCATAAAATTGGCAAAGCCCCAAATATGGCTAGCTGCCACGGTGGAGTTTGTCAGCTCATAGAGTGCCCCAGCTCATTACCAATCCATGGGATAATGACGACCATCTTCATAATAATCATTATTGCCTTAGACAGGCATGGATGACAAAGACACCCCAGGGATGTCTGTTTCAAATGAGCTGCTTCTTATCCAGCCTTGACTCTCCAGAGTGGCTTTCTATGGCATTAAAGGGTCAGGGAGCTGAAAGGGGCCTTTGGAGATCATCCATTCTGGCTCCCTGCCTTCCGACAGAGCTAACCTGTATAGAATAATTATATAAGAAATTGTTGTTGTATGAGAAATAGTTGCTGCATAAGAAACTTACTTTTGTATGTTATTCTTGTGATGGTATCTCTGTTGAGCATTCGATTAAGAAATGGGTTTGATGAATCAGAAACCTAGGGGAGAAAAAAAAATTTTAATGACTGGGTAGTACTCTCCCAGGGTCAACATTGCCTCCATGGATTCACTTGTTTATTCCTATTTCTTGAGGGTCTAACATGTGCCAAACACTACGATGGGTGGAAATTCAGAGGTAAAACATACAGACACTATTTTCCAGAAGTCCCAGTCTAGAGAAAGAAGACAGGTTAAGTACATAGTGGTTATAATATAGTATGAACGGTGCTAGCATAGAGGCACAGGTACGATGATATTAGAGGAGCACCATCCACCTGGGGAATCTGGGGAGCTAAGGCTGAACTGAGTCTTTTTTTAAAAAAAATCATTTTAGGGGGAGAGAGGAAGGGGTTGGGGAGGAGATGGAAGGGGAGAGAGAAGGAGAGAGATAAATATTGATTTGTTGTTCCACTTATTTATGTATTCACTGGTTTATTCTTGGATGTGCCCTGACTGGGGATTCGAACCACAAATTTGATATATTGGGATGATGCTCTAACCAACTGAGCTGCCTGACCAGGGCCCTGAACTGAGTCTTGAAGGATGGGTCGAAGTGAACAAAGTGCTCTCATGGTAGAGTGTGGAGACAAGGAAGGGTAAGGAAAAACATTACATACAGAGGATCTGTTTCATACATAGACATGGGAGAATTAGCCATGCTCAGGCATGTATTTCATTGTAGTTGGAGCTGAGATTATGGAGGAAGGGTGGAAGGTGAGGCTAAAGGGGTAGGTGGGGGCCAGTATATGTCAGGCTGTGACAGTCATGTTGGGCATGTTGTTCTGTAGGGATGGGGAGTCATCAGAGGGGATAGGGAGTTACATGTTAGCAAGGGGACAGTCATCTAGGTTGAGAGTGAGAAAGTACACAGAACAGGGGTGTCAGGAGATGAAAACAAATCTCTAAAAGTAATAGAGAAACTTATTATATAACTGCTCTTCAATGCGTACATCAAATATATCATACACCACACCATTCAATCATCTATCCATCCATCCATCCATCCATCCATCCATCCATCCACATACCTATTCACTCAGTAAATATTTACCAAGTACCTATTAGGGATCAGTTCCCATTTTATGTCCATGCCCTTAGGTCTCCAAATTCCTTTGGGAGAAAAAGCCAAGGTTCCAGGAGCTTAATCCAGGGGACCACCCTTTGGAGACTGTGACGTGCCCCCGCATAAGCGTGGACACTGCTTTTCGGCACCCCCATTTTACTCTGCTTTCCTGAGGTGTCGTTGTTCATCCCAGGCATCTCTCTCCTACCTGCTCAGCACAGCTCCACTCTGTAATTCACACCTCAGCTACTAATCGGATGTTGTGACACATCAACATTTTAAATCTGATTTATTCTAAGGTGTGGAAAAATTACAGCAGATGATGATTATTATTAGACAAGCAACAGGTAATTTTTAGTTTGGAAATAGCCCAGATTGTTTGTGTTCCTGCCATGTGTCTCTACTTTTCCGCAGCTCCCTGGGTGTGTTGTGTTGGGGTGCACACCAAAGGGAGGCTGGTGAGTGACAGCGCTCAGCGGTGTTTGCAGAAGCCCGCCCACGAATGAAGAGAAGTCCCAAACCAAACACTACTGCCCCCTAGGGGCTCTAGTGCCAAACCCGACTTCTACTTTCTCATCCTCTTTGGCTGTTTCAAAGACAGCCTGAAGCCACCTGTCTATACCAATGCCCCCGGGAAAGGAGGAGAGCCAAAATACAATGTCGTGGCCCGTAAGGAATCTGCTATGACCCATAATTGGGTGCCTGGGGTTCCTGGTGAGCCTGGGCAGTGCCAATGTTGGGACTGGACCCTTTTGAGCTGATTAAAAATAATTGAAAACCTCCCAAAGTGTGCACAGATGATTTGTGGGCCCCAGTGTGTTGGCTGCGTGGGTGAGAGGATAAAATATGTACTTGGTATAAGTGAGCTTAAGTGGGAAGTTAATGGTGTGTGATTGAGCAGCAATTACAGCCAAATCTCGGTTCCCTGTGGTCACGGGAAGGATGGGGGACAAGGAGGGGATGGAGATAAGTAAAACCCATGGATAAACAAGTCTCCTATTTTTAACCAACAACTCTGACCCTTCTATGGCTCTGCTATTGGCCAGAGTGACATCTCCAGGGCTTAGCCGACCCAGATGTGGGGCCTCTCATGTTCGGTTCCTGCCTGCCCTGCAGGGAGCTGAGAAGGGGAGGTGGGAGGACCAGGGGGAGGGCACGCCAGCAGAGGCTGTGAGCCCTTAGGGGCCGAGGGCTTTGTTCATCTCCTTTCCATGTTCCAGTGCCTAGCGCAGGGCCTGCCTGTGCCCCACACTCAGTTAGTGTCTTGAGGTGAGTGAATGACAAGTCACAGCTGGGACATCTGGAAGTTGATTACATTGTACAAAGACAGGAATGCTGTCATTTATTTTGAGATCTAGCCAGAAAGCTTCAGGTCTGTTCAGGAAAACAAGGGAAGCACCCCTAAGGGACAAAATGGCCTGAGACCTTGCAGAGCAAGCCACCACCCATTCACTGACCTCAGGGTCAGGGGCAGGAGTTCCTCCCAGCCACCTGCAGGGAGGCAGCCAGGACCTGCGTCAATAATCTCGGTGGAGCGAGACACGCTGGTAGTGTGCCATTGAGGAGGCTGAACTCCTGGCATGTCAGTCACCCTGTCAGCTGTAATGCACATGAACTTCCAGGATGACACTCAATGACCCCGGAAGCGTTGAGCAAAGTGAGGCAAAGTCGGGGACGGATGCTGAGGCAGCCACCGATAGATAAGCATTGGCTGTCGAGTCACTCCCTGGGAAAAGCCATGGGAGGGGTAAGTGCCTGGACGGGTGTGTCCCGATACTGTGACATCTCTGCAGGCTTCCCTTTAGTGAGTGTGGCCTGGGATGGATGCACCAGGGGGTTATCAATGTCATAACTGGGGCTGGTTGAGGGATATGGGATGAGGAAGTTTTTAAATATCATTTTCTGTCTTCTTTTTAGTTGCTTCTCCTCAGCTCTCCTGGGGAGGTGTATGGTGTGAAGGAGGTCATTAATATTACAGTCAAGCAAGACCTGGGTTCCCTCCCTAGATGAGCTGTTAGGAGCTACATGGACTTGGGTGGAATGCCAAAGAGTCCCCGGACCCTTGACCTCATTAGCAGGATAGAACACCAATGCCCACCACCCTGCAGACTTATTAGGGTTAAATGATAAAATATATGCCGAGTACATATTCGAGTGCCTGGCATTCAGGAACTTGCAAGGCCTGTGATGGTGCCGGGAGATGCAGAGCAGAGCCTTGCGGGACCAATTTCCATAGGATGTCGCATCAGGTATTATAAAGGCCTAAAAAAATATGCTTCCCTGGCCCAAAGCCCCCTTCCTCTCTTTGTTGATGACAAACTAGAGGAGTTTGGGGTTGGGGGCCAGGGGGCAGCAACATGTTACAAATGCCCTTGCCCAATGTACAGCTCTGCCCAGACCACAGAAAGGCTGGACCTGACCCCAGTGAGGGAGAGGACTTAGGGGGAGGTGTGGAGTATCAAGAGGGATGACCAGGCAGGCAAAGTGCCTGTTGCAAAGCCTGATGCTTTCAGGGAGGGCGAGAGAGTGGTACCTGGGGCTCCCCCGTGCCCATTCCTCTGAACAATGATGGCGTCATCACCAGAACTCCGTTCCAACCCCACAGTGGCAAATGCTGGATTTCTATTGATCATCTTCCTCAGATTCTCAAGTTCAGACTGGGACACCTCCTCTAATGGTCTGGCCCAAACTTCCTAAGGGGTTAATGCAGTCACTGCCAACTTTCACAAATGCCACACATTGCTTTTTCCTCCTAATTGAGAAGACCATTTTTTTTTCTTTCTTCCTTTACATTTACATACCTGTTTCACTCTCCATCTGTCAAAAATGTGAACGGTAATTACCTTTTAACAAATTAGAACTGGCTTCATTGGAGATTTGTGGGCGGTGGCTGTTAGGAAGATGAGGAGCCTCCCTAGAGTGTCATAAAGTCAGCATTGGTGATCTTTGCTTAATTTTCCCCGGGGGATGCTTACGAGAAAGAGAGGGGAGGGGCGTGCTCAGAGCCCTTGTGCGGAAGCAGGAGGGAGCTGCTCTGTGCAGTGGGGGCGGGGGGGGGGGGGACGGGGGGACGCGGGGGTGGGGAGGGCATCTCACATTTCCCTTGGGTCTCTTTTTTCCAAGCGATGGGCAGGGCTTCAATCTTGTGGGGTGTCAGTGGGCCACCCCTCCCCCTCCTATCCATCGTTCTGACTTTTCTGCATGAGGTGAGGCCTGAAGCTTGCTTCTGGATCCAGCACATTTCTTCCCCACCCCCTCCAGGACAGAAGCTACTCAAATCCCCGGGCCCTGATGCTCTGAAATGAAAACCATCATTTTTGCATCTCACTGAGAGGGACCTCATTTTTCATAAATCTCACGGATGTGAAATCACCACCCTGCAGTTTTTCTTGGGCACGTACACCACCCTTTGTGTTATTTCTAAGATCCAGCAGGACTGTAAAGAGGTATTCTGATTGGGGTGGGGAAAGCAAGAGGAGAAGAATAAAAGAATGCAAGATACTTACTTTTATAAATATAGAAACTACCACCAGTCCATTTGGGCTCTTTGCAGCTTCCGTGACATTGGTATATAACTCATGGTTATAGTGGATGAGCTGCACCTGGCAGGAGGGAAAAAGCAGTAATAAGGACAACACTCTAGCTTTAAAATATATGAGGCACAGAACATCCACCCTCCATAAGGGTACACGGTAAAGTCTGTCATAGAACAACTGGAAAGACAATCTTGTAATCAAAGGGATTTTGAGGTGTGTGTGTGTGTGTGTGTGTGTGTGTGTAAAATGCATGCATACACACACATACAAAAATAGCCATACATATTTGCAAATGTTGTCTGGTAACAAGCATGCCTTTCATAAGCGCAGTGCCCATCTGGCTCTGGCTCCATCTCAGGATGTTTCCCCTAAAGTGTGTGTAAAGTGAATTTCCCTTATTAGGAGTGGAACTGCCCTGCAGGGGCCGGCATGCTGCACCAACAGCTGCCACTGGCAGCGAGTAAATCTTGCTCCTGGCCCCTGGCTGAGCAGGGAATTGTTAGGTCCTCAAGGAGAGAGAGCTGATGTCTCAGGCTGCCGATGCACCAGCCTGCCCAGGTCATCTGACTGTGCAGGGTTAAACTTCTTCCTCGTTCACTGTAGACCAATGTGGGGAACAAAAGGAGTCCTGGAAATGCATTCCAGTAAATGGGTTTTCCCCTGTTGCCTAATATTTTTTAAAAAAATCTCTTTTTAAAAGAAGAACTTGTGAAACACAGCACACCTATATAGTCACCGAACGCCCCACCAATTTTGAGCCACGTCAGTAACACCCCACCTGAGTGGGACTCAATCGTTTCCTCCAAAAAATGAGTATTATGATCTCTCTTTAGATTCATCTTAGGGCTGTGGTTTTAAAATAGATTTTTAAACAGCATGGAAGTATAATTTTTGTAACAAAACAAAACACAGAGAAAAAAAGTGATAGGTCCTCTCCCACACCTCTGTCTAATCCTAGCCCAAACAATATGACTACTAACAGTTTAGAATTTACTCCTCCAGACTGTTTTTTTTGTGCTTATAAATTACACACACATATACATGTTGGGCTTAAAAACAATAAATGGGTAAATTCCTACAAATATATAACTTACCAAGACTGAACCAAGAAAAATAGAAACCTGAACAGATGAACACAAATATGGAAATTGAAGTAGTAATAAAACATCTCTCCCAAGAAAGAAAAGCCCTGGACCAGACGGCTCTGCAGGTGACTTTTACCAAACATTCAAAGACTGTCCGCCAGTCCACTTTAAACTCCAGTCTGCCTTAAACTCTTCCCAAACAATAGGAGAGGAGGGAACTCATTTTGTGAGGCCAGCATCATCCTGATACCAAAGCCAGACAAGAACACTACAAGAAAGGAAACTACAGGCCAATATCCCTAATGAACACAGACACAAAAACTTCAATAAAACACTAGCAAACTGAATTAACAGCATATTAAAGGGATTATACACCATCACCAAGTGGGATTTATTCCTGGGATGCAAGGATGGCTCAATATATACAAAACAATGTGATATACTTGTATTAACAGAATGAAAGATAAAAACTACGTGATCACCTCAAGTAAACTCAGAAAAAGCATTTGACAAAATTCAGTATTCATTCACGATAAAAAACTATTTTAAAAAGGCACAGAAGAAACTTGCCTCAACACAATAAAAGTGATGCATGAAAAACCCACAGCTCTTATAATAATCAATGGGGAAAATCTGAAAACTTTCTCTCTAAGATCCAGTACAAGGCAAGAATGCCCACTCTTGCCACTTCTATTCAACATAGAAGTCCTGGCGAGAGCAGTTAGACCAGAAAAAAAAGACATCCAGATTGGAAAGAAAAATGCAAAATCATCTTTGTTTGCATATGACATGATCATATATGTGGAATACACTAAAGACTCCACAACAACAAAAAACTTAGAACTAATAAATGAATTCAGTAAATTAGCAGGATTTAAAAAATCAACACACAAAAATTGGTAGCATTTCTATATGGTAACAATGAATTATCTGAAAAAGGAAATTAAGAAAACAATCCCATGTACAATAGTGACAAAAAGAATAAAATACTTAGGAATAAACTTAACCAAAGAAGAGAAGACCTAGATACTGAAAACTGTAAAACACTGATGAAGGAAATTGAAAAATACACAGATTAATGGAAAGACACCCCATGTTCATGGCTTGTAAGAATTAATATTGCTAAAATGTCCATACAACTCAAAGTAATCTATGATGCAATCCATATCAATTTCCAATGTCATTTTTCACAGAAATAGAAACAAACTATCCAAAAGTTCCTATAAACCACAAAAGACCCCAAATAACCAAAGCAATCTTGAGCAAGAAGAACTAAGCTAGAAGCATCACATTTCTTAGTTCCAAAATACATTAGGAAGCTATCAGAATAAAAACAGTATGATGCTGGCATAAAAACAGAAATATAGACCAATGGAACAGAATACAGAGCTCAGGAATAAATTCACACATTTATGGTCAACTAATCTTTGACAAGGGCACCATTATTTCCCACATAATGGGGAAATAATAGACTCTTCAATAATTGATGCTGGGAATGCTGAATATCCACATGCAGAAGAATGAAATTGAACCTTTATCTCACACTGTATACAAAGATCAACTCAAAATAAATTACACAGTACCTGGAACTGTAAAACTATTAGAGGGAAGCACAGGGAAAAAAGCTCCCTGACATTGATCTTGGAAATAATTTTTTTGGTTATAACACCAAAGCACAGGCAACAAAAAAAATATAGATAAGTAGGATTACATCAAACTAAGCTTCTGCACAGCAAAGGAAAAATGTTTAAAAGACTGAAAAAGCATCTTACAGAATGGGAGAAAATATTTGCAAGCCATACAGCTGATAAGGGGTTAATATACAAGGAATATATATATAAATTTATACAACTCCATAGCAAAAAATAAATAGCCTGTTTAAAAAATGGGCAAAGGACATGAACGGACAATTCTCAAGACATACCAATGGCCAATATGTACATGAGTAGGTGATTAATATCACTAATCATCAGAGAAATGCAAATCAAACCACAATGGGATATTACCTCACATCTTTTAGAAAGATAGTTATTAAAAAGACAGAAAACAAGTGTTGATGAAGATGTGGAAAAAAGGGAACCCTTGTACACTGATGGTGGGAATGTAAACTGGTATAGTCATTACGGAAAACAGTATGGTAGTTCCTCAGAAAATTAAATATCGAGCTATCATATGATCCAGAATTCCCATTCTTGGGTATATATCCAAAGGAAAGGAAATCTGGATCTGAAAGAGATATCTGAACTTCCATGTTCACTACAATATTATTCATAATCGCCAAGATATAGAAACAACCTAAGTGTCCACTGATGGATGAACAGATAAAGAAGATATACAATGCAATGTTATTCAGCCTTAGAAAAGGAGATCCTGCCATTTGCAACAATATGGATGAACCAGAAGAACATCATGCTAAGTGAAATAGCAAGGCACAGAAAGACACACATATATGATCTCACTGATACAAAATAGTCAAACTCATAGAAGCAGAGAATAGAATGGTGGTTGTCAAAGGCTGGAGGAAGGGAGAAATGAGATGTTGGTCCAAGGGTACAAAGTTTCAGTTACGCAAATGAATGTGCTCTGGGGATCTAATGTATTGCATGGTGACCGTAGTTAACAATACTACATAGTATACTTCCAAGTTGTTAAGAGGATAAATCTTAAATCTTCTTAGACATATACACAAATAGTAACTAGGTGGAGGTGATGGATGTATTATTTATCTTGATTATGGCTATTTTTCCACAATGTATAAACATACAAAAACATCAAACGTCATATACCTTAAATATATACAATCTTTTACATGTCAACAATATCACAAATAAAGTTGTTAAAAATAAAAGAGTGAGATTTCTGACCAAGATAGAGGCATGAGTAGATACACTGTGCCTACTTGCAAAACCAAAAGAAGGACAAGAAAACAAACTTAAAAACAAAAAAACAACAAGAACTGACAGAAAATCAAATTATATAGAAGTCCAACAACCAAGAAGTTAAAGAAGAAACATTTCATCCAGACTGGTAGGAAGGGTGGAGACAAGCAGCCAAGGTGGAGAGGACTCACAGCAAGGCAGCAGCTGGAGGACCGGGAGGTAGTGGCAGGAGGAATGGGCAGTCCCACATTTGAGTGTGGATAAACTGGGAGGAACAACTGGGGAGCGACCCAAGGTTCCAGCATAGGGAAATAAAGCCTCAAAACCTCTGACTGAAAAAACCCATGGGGGTTGCGGTGGCAGGAGAAACTCCCAGCCTCACAAGAGAGTTTGTTGGAAGGACCCACAGGGTCCTAGAACGTGGGACCCACCCACCTGGGAATCAGCACCAGAAGGGCCCAATTTGCTTGTGGGTAAGAGAAGAAGTGACTGAAAGCCATCAGAGAGCTGAGCAACTAGCATGTTCCCTTTCAGACCCCTCCCCCACATACAGTATCACAAAGCAGCAACGTGGGTTGCCCCACCCTGGTGAATACCTAAGGCTCTGCCCCTTACTACGTAACAGGCATATGCAGATAAAAAATATTGCCCAAATAAAAGAACAGATCAAAGCTCCAGATGACGAAGAGATAGCCAACCTATCAGGTGCACAGTTCAAAACACTGGTAATCAGGATACTCACAGAAATGGTGCAATATGGTTGCAAATAGAGGAAAAAGTGAAAGCTATGAAAAGTGAAATAAAGGAAAATGTACAGGGGACTAACAGTGAAGAGAAGGAAACTGGGACTCAATGATTTGGACTAGAAGGAAGAAATAAATGTTCAATAAGAACAAAATGAACAAACAAGAATTAAAAAAAATGAGGAGAGGTTTAGGAACCTCTGGGACAACTTTAAATGTTCCAATATCTGAATCATAGGGGTGCCAGAAGGAGAAGAGGAAGAGCAAGAAATTAAAAACTTATTTGAAAAAATAATGAAGGAGAACTTCCCCAATCTGGTGAAGGTAATAGACATCCAGGAAGTCCAGGAAGCTCAGGG